TGGCACAATTAACTAACTCGGTTACTCAATAATTCGATTGTATGGTATTTGCAAACCAAACAAGACGCCCAATATAAAGATTAAAGACGACTCGGGCTATGTTTTTCACTGGCAGCAAACAGCTCCATTAGCAAGCATGTGGCCACTTGGCATGATGGTGATGAAGCCCCAGAACAGTACACAGAGAACTTGGAAGATCCAGTTCTACCGCTGTCTCTCTCCACGTCTGAGAAACTCCTCCGCCTCCTTCGTTGTTAGCCGAAAAGCCCTTCTGTGGCGGAGAACCCTTTCCAAACGACGTTCTCACCAAAAAACGTTCCTTTGCTGTCAACGTGAGGGCTCGGTGATAGCGGGACTCTTACTCCTGGTTACAGATAAACCAACCCAAACCCAAGCCCGACGCTGCCGCACAGCGACCCTCTGGGACGGGGGTTCCAAGACTAACTCTGTACCAGAGCAGAAAGCCCTGTCTTCCCCTCACAGCAGCTGGTGTTTTCAAACTGCTGACCTTACGGACTGTAGCCCAGCCCGTCGCCACGACATGCCCAGGGTTCCTCCACAGGTAACGCACGCGTGAAAATGCCGAAGGCACTGCCATCGAGTGGATTCTGACTCATAGCCATCCTGGGGACGGAGAAGAACTGGCCCCCGTGGTTTTCCCAGGTTGTAAATCTTCACAGAAGCAGAACACCCCCACTCTCCCTCGGAGTGGCTAATGGACTTGAACTGCTGACTTTGTGGTTGGCAGCCCAACACATGCCCACAACACCCCCTGGGCTCCTTACACACAGAGATGTGGATAGAAGCAGATAAACCACCCCCCAGCTCGTAGCGACCCCAGAGGGCCGGGTAGAGCTGGCTCATGGAGTTTCTGAGGCTGTCAATCTTTACAGAAGCAGACTGCCTGCCTCGTTTTCCTCTCAGAGCAGCTCCTGTGCTGGCACTTCTGACTTCTTGGTTAGCAGCCCAGTGCTTAACCCACAGGGCCACCAGGGCTCCTGTAAACACAAGCACCATTACAACTCAAAGGTGGGAGGTGGGATGCAGCCCAGTCAGCCGGAAGCCTGCCGGCCCCGAGCGTGCCCCAGCAGCGCCAGGTAGCAAGGACAGGCTTCTTGAACAGAGCATGCCAGGACTTTCTTTCGAGGGACCTCCCACTCCTTGTTTGCCGCCAGAGGGGAGACTGAGAAGTACCGATTGGGATGATGTTATCTGTTGAGGCAGCTCTGCAGATGACCAAGCCCTGCCACACAGAAGTCACCAGGACCAGTCCCCTCCCCAGCTAACTGCAACAGGCTCACTCGGGCCCGTTTCAGATGCACATACCTGAGTGTGGTCACAGAGCTCAGACTGTTAGGGCTGAGTTTCTGGAATCTTCTTCCCAGGCCCCTCTTGCTCTTTCCCTGGCATCCCTTCCTTCCCTCGTGCTTTACGGAAGGCACAGCCTGGGGCCCCAGGATTGCACTGTGAGGCCCTGCATTCCAGAGCATGGTGTGTATGTGCGTGTGTGCACACTGTGTGCTGGCTGTGGCATTGATCACAGGAGCTTCTGCGCTGGGTGAGGCCACGTGGTGTCACTCAGGTGAGAAGCAGTAAAATCCCTGTGGTGGGTAGCATTGGGCTACCTGTCAGCCCTGCGGGTACCACCTGCCCCTGCCCCGAGAGGCACAGTCACTTCCCGTCGTCACTGCGCCCAGGCCTCTAACCAACGGCTGGTGTGTGGGTGCGGCTTCAGAGCGCGGCCTGGCCACCTGGGACGGGTACCACTGGAAGGAACGGGTTCCTGCTGACATGGGTCTCGCCAGGAGAGCCTCAGAGGGCACGACGTGCCCCTGAGACCATCTCTGTCGCAGGTGCCTCCCCTGGGGCTGCCCACAGGTGCCTCCCCTGGGGCTGCCCAGGGCGCTAGGAGCCGGGCCGGGCCACGGCAATGCCCGCAGGGACTGGGCAGCTCTCAGGGGCCTCTCAGCCAGAAGACGGGCTTCAAGTTCCTCCCGGCCCGCACTCCACCCTCGGGCGTTTGAGGCACCCAAGTCTCCAACCAGCACAGGTGGCAACCTCTGACCCCGCAGAAGTTTCTGGAGCCATCCACTGTCTCCCTTCACCCATGTTTCTGTTGTTTGTCTCCCTCAGGGGGGTGGGGGAGGGGTTATACATTGATCCAAACTGATGAAAACAATAATAACTTATAATTGATCAAGGGTTCACGAGGGTGGAGGAGGGAGGGGGAAAAAGAGGAGCTGATGCCAAGGGCTCAAATAGAAAGAAAATGTTTTGAAAATGATGAGGGCAACAAATGTACAAATGTGCTTGATACAGTTATGATAAGAGCTGTAAGCACCAACAATAAAACAATTTATAATATAAAAAGTTGTTTCTAGAGCCAAGCTTTTCCTGAGACTGAGGTGGGGTGAAAGCTGTGGACAAAACACCTGCCTGCACACACGTGTACACACACATGTGCATGCAGACACGTGTAAGTCTATATAGGCACATACCCTGCACACGTGCACTGGCACACCTCTCTCATGCACACGTGCCTGGGACACACACACAGGCCACACAACAGCACCCACACAGGTGCACGTACACAGGCATCCTTGAGCT